ACCTATCTATTATTGCTATCATCTATCTTTCCATAGATTGTTGTTTGACCAGCTTTTATGGTATATGGTATATGTGGGCAAGTGGTTTCATCTAGAGATTCTGAAAATTATGTAATAGTAGGTCAAGTTACCATGAAACTCTATCAGTTAACATACATATACCTTTCCGTATTAAAGTCATGAAGTTCCAAAGTAAGTCAGTGTCCTAGAGTCTTTGCTGAGCCAAAGCCATACTGGATTCTGAGGAAGTAGGGAAAATATCCTTCCTCCAACTTTCTCATGCTCATCCAGTGTGTGATGTGCTTTGTCACCTGGCTACCAAAGTAGAATGACTGTGTTCAGAGTAACCTCGGGAAGAAGTCACTTCCCCTGTATCCTAGATATTCTTCCTCTTTTTATAGAGTGAAGAGACCTCAGTTGGACTGATGACCAATATCTAGGTCAGGCACCATATTTTTCCCCACTGTGAACCCTCAAATGTTACCTGCAAAACCAAGTCCTTATTCTTAAGCAATCACAGCACAACAATCATGGCAAACCTCCCTCTGTGCAAATTGGCTCTTGAGAGTCCCACCCACTAGCACAACACACTTCATGAATTCATTGAACTAGTACTGATGGAGTGCTTGCTTTGTGTGAGACACTATTCTAGACATAGGCCACTGCCTGTTTAATACCAGACTGGACTTCTGCCAGTTGCATGTGTGCATCCATTGTGTAGGTATGTACACACAGATCTTCATATGCAGAACTTTTGTTTCCTTTTAGTAACAGCTGTTCTGCTTCTATGTAGCTAGTAAGCATCTTTCATCTTTGATACATAAATAGAAAGAAGCATTAAATGATTACTATCATGAAAACTTCCCCAAATACAGAAAACTGCTAAAAGCAACACTGGGTAATACCCAGTAGCCATCAAGCAGAACTTCCAAATGGCATTTATTATATTTGCTTCAGATTTTTTTAAAATCAAAGAACTAATGCCTTACTGATAAGTCTTTGATCCCTTCTTTCCTCATTTTCATTTCCTTCCTTCTCTTCCTTCCCAGAGGCACCATTATTGTGTTTCTGCTCTGCAGCCATCTTCTGTATTGTTTATATTTTTACTAAATATAGAATTTGCCTAAAATATATGCAGTATTGTTTTTATACATTTTGTAAATTCCATATAAATGCTTTCATACTATGTGTGTGTATGTGTGTGTGTGTATAGTTATATATTGTTCTGTTGTTGTTCTTAAGTGTGGCCTATTTTACTGTATTTACATGTAGCTCATTTTATCTACTGTATATTACTCCTTTCTATAAGTATACCTCAGTTGTCTCTCCTTTTTCTACCTATGGCTATTTAGTGTCTTTCCATTTTTTTCCCCAATTACAAGCAATGCTGAAGAGAATTTATTTACACACGTAAGGGAGAATTTTCCTAAAAATTTATATCTAGAAGCAGAATTATTAGGCTGAATATTATACATGTTTTCCAATGTTAGATATTGTTCTCCAAATGGTAGGAGAGCTTCTGTCAGCAATGTATGAGTCCTTCCTCCATATTCTTGCCAGTACTTGTCATTTTCAGACTTTTAAATTTTTTCAACCTGATGAGTTTCCCTGATTAGCACCCTTACACATGTGCCAACTCAGCACCTGAAATGTGGCTAGTCTGTGTCATGTTACACATGTAAAGAAATGAGATTTTGAAGATTTAATATGAAAAAAAGGTAAAATACCTCATTGATAATTTTTTGGATTGATTGTATGTTGACATGACTATTTGGATATACTGGGTTAAATAAAATGTATTATTAAAGTGAATTTCTTCTATTTATTTTTACTTTTTTTAATGTGCATACTAGAAAATTTAAAAATGCATGTATGGCTCTCAATACATTCCTATTGGTCAGCACTAGTGAAGAAACTCCAGTATAATGTTGACTAATCATGGTGAAAGTAAACTCCTTGTTTTACTTGTGATTTCAGTGGTAATCCTTCTGAAGAATCACCTTTATTTCTGATGTTTGCTCTTGGTGTTTTGTAGTTACTTCATTAGATTGAGGAGGCTCTCCCACCCCCTACTTGCTGAGGGTGATTACAATGACCGAAGCTTGAATTCTGTGGCTTTGACCATGTCCATTAGGATGATCATATTGTTTCTCCATTTAATCTTTCAGTAAGGTCAACTACATTGGTTGATTTTTATAAACAAAATTTTAAATGTGGAATCACCTGAGATAAACCTACCTGGCCATTTTATACCCCTACTGGATTTCATGCTTAATTTTTTTTTACTTAGAAATTTTTCGTGTATATTCATAGATGAGATTGCTCTGTGATATTGATTTCTTCTGTACTCTGCTGATACTCAGTTTTCAGGACAACTGCTGCTGCTAATAGTCAGAATTTATTGAGCACTTACCAGTGCCAGGGACTCTACATGTACTCTCTCACTGACTCCCCACACCAAAGTTATAAGGTAGATTCTATTATTATTCCCATTTTATAGAAGACAAACCTGAGGCAGAAGGAAGAAGTAACTTAATAAATGGTGACACTCCAGTGTGGGCAAAATGGTAGGCTGGATATCCCAAGAAGCTACCTGCAAAACCAAGTCCTCATTCTTAAGCAATCACAGCACAGTAATCCATATAAATGCTCCTACAAATGCACCTACAATGCTGAACTTTTTTTTAATATTAAGATGAATTTTGGGGGCACCTGGGTGGCTCAGTCAGTGAAGTGTCTGCCTGCAGCTTAGGTCATGATCTCAGGGTCCTGGGTTTGAGCCCCACATCAAGCTCACTGATCAGCAGGGAGTCTGCTTCTCCCTCTCTACCCCTTCCCTCCACTTGCTCTCTCTCTCTCTCTCAAATAAATAAATAAATAAATAAATAAATAAATAAATAAATCTTTTTAAAAAATATGAATTTTGAACCCAGAAAAAAATAAAGGCAGTCCTTAGATTCCCTTGTTTTCATCCTTTGACCTTCAATTTTAATAGACTCTTAATGAAGAACAGGAGAGAAAGAGATCCCTAGCAAGGTGGGAAGTTGGATTCAAGATCTGCAGGATGAGTCTAGGACCCATATGATGATTAAACTGGAAAACACCTCACCCCTTCTGCATTCTTAAGGTAGGCAGAAAGGATATTTGCTTGTCTAGGCCATGGCTCTAGGTGAATGCACTGGGAGAGAGGAGGGGAGAAGGTTTAGAGTTGGTATTGCTACATCCTGTAAGTTTTAAAAGAATACTTTTTAAAAAAGATTTTCTTTCTTTCTTTCTTTCTTTCTTTCTTTCTTTCTTTCTTTCTTTCTTTCTTTCTTTCTTTCTCTTTCTTTCTTTCTTCTTCTTTCTTTCTTTCTTCTTTTATTCCTTTTAGAGAGAGAGAGAGAGAGAGAGAGAGAGCATGCACACACATGCACCTGAGTCAGGGGAGGGGCGGAGGGAGAGAATTTCAAGCAGACTCGCACTGAGTGCCACGGGACTGGCTCCAACAACTTCCAGATCGTGACCTGAGACGAAATCAAGAGTCAGACACTTAACCAACTGAATCACTCACCTGGGCACCCCAAAAGAACACTTTTAAAGAACAAATATTTTTACTGCCTTTAGTTCTAAATCTTTTACAATTTCCATTGTATTTTCTTCTTTAATCTTTGATTATTTAAAAATGCAGTTTTCATTTCCAAATAGAATAAGGGTGTTTTTATTTTTACTCTTTTATTCTTGATTCTAATTTAATTATACTGTGGTCAGAGTATGCAAACTGTATGTTATTGATGTTTTGAATTTTGTTGAAACTTCCTTTTTGATTAACAATTGATTTTTTTTTGTAAATTTGCCACATATACGTGAAAAATGTATGTTTTCTATTTTTTGGTATAGTGTTCTCCTAATGCATCTGTCCAATATATCATGTTTGTTAATTGTGTTGTCTGATCCTTTGTCAGACTTATAAGTGTCTCAGAGAGTGTTGTGTTAAAATCTTTTACTCTGAATGTGGATTATGCAGTTTTCTTTGTAATTCTGTTTCTTATTTATATGCACCTATGCTGGGGCACCTGGCTACCTCAGTCAGTGGAGCATGCAACTCTTGATCATAGGGTTGTGGGTTCAAACCCCACATTGGGTGTAGAGATTACTTAAAGATAAAATCTTTAAGATTTTATATCATATATGTATTTATATCTTATATATCTATACTGTATTAGTAGATGCATATAATTCATGATAGCTATAATCTATATATAGTTATAATCTTTTCTAGACTTAAAAAATCATTTTAGAAAAAAAATCATTTTAGAATGAAGCTCTTTATCTCTGTTAATGCTGTAGCCTTAAATTCCATTTTATCTACTGTCAGGATTGCTCACTCAAAATCTTTTGCTTAGTATTTGCCTGGGTTATCTTTTCTCATCTCTTTTTTTTCTTTATTTGTTTTAGGTGCATCTCTTGAGCTCATTGCTGATGTCTATTTCTTTATTGATATAGTAGCTTTCTTGATTAGCTGAGTTTAATCAGTTTCCATTGATTGTGATTAACGACATAGCTGGACTTATTTTTACATGTTATTTTTATTTACCAAGCTTTTACCTACTTAAAAAAATCATTTCTTGCTCTATTTTGGATTTATACACTATTATTCTTTCCTACACCTCCACCTCAGCAGTTTGAAAATTTTAATTCTAATTTTTAAATTATTTTTAACATACACATTAAGCTCTCTACCAAAAGCCTATAATGCTTCAGTTGTTCTATTCTTTCTGAACAAGACAAGGAATTTATCAGGCTTTAATTACCCACAATCTGCCATTTTATTGTTCGTTTTACCAGCTTTTAAAGGCAAAAATTAGTTGTTGTTGTAGCTGTGGTTGCTGTTGTGATTATCAGTAACCACTACTTAGGTAGATTTACAGGCCATTTTGTTAATTTCTTTGCTAAGTATATTCCTTAAATCCCACTCCTTACTTCTGGGTTCAGTTTTCTTCTTGCTGAGGGATATCCTTTCAAGACCTACTGCAGTCAGAGCAACACTGGTTTTGCATTATTTTGCTTATCTCTTGGAAGCTATTTCTCTAGTGTCTGCTGGCGTCAATTCACCCATGGGAAGCCTGCTTTCAGCATAATGACTGCCTCTTTGTAGGTAATCTGTCTTCTCTCCTGGTAGCATTTAGGATTTTCTCTTTATCCCTGCTGTTTAGAATTTTCACTATGGTATGCTTAGATGTGGATTTATTTTTGTTGTTCTGTCTCAGCAATTGATGTAAACATTCACTCTGGGCTTTCTTCACCCCCCAGCCTGGAAAATTCTTAGCTATTCTCAGCTGTTATTTCTTCCAGTGGTGCCTTTGCCCCTTGCCTCCTCTTTGCCCCTTCCTTAATTCTCTGCTTTTGAAATTATATGAGATAAATGCTGGAGCTTCTCCCATTCTTTCATGTTTTTCAGCCCTTTATCTTTTAATACTAGTTATCTTTTTATTTTGACAAGATCTCTAATTTATGTGTGCAAGGTCAGTACAAGTAGTTTTCTTCTCACCAAACAATTTGAGACTACGTTGCTGACCTAATGTCCTGTTACCCCTGAGTACTTGAGTATGTATTTCCTACATGGAAGGGTATCTCTTATATAACTGCAATGCAATTGTCAAAATAGGGAAATTAACTGATATGTTACTACCTTATAGTACTCAAACACTGTTCTACTTTCTCGGGCTATGCCAATAATGTCCTTTATAGGAAATCGTTCCCCAGCTGCTCCTCAATCTTCCCTTGGGTTAAAGATCTTGATTCTTCTGAAGATTTAGAGATCAGTTGTCTTGTGGAATGTCCCTCAGTTTGGGTATGTCTAATGTTTTCTCATGATTGGGTTTTGATGATGCATTTTGGCAAGAATATCCATATCTCTTATGTTGATATGTCTTATTAGTGATAGTAGTACCTTTGATCACATAGCTAGGATGGTGTCTGCCAAGTTTTTGCACTTTAAAGTTAATATCTTCCCCTTTGTAATTTATAAATATCTTTGGGGAGATACTCTGGCTATGCAAATACCCTGTTTCTCATTATACTTTAAAAAAAGAGATTGATTGATGGATTGATTGATTTTTGAAGAAAGAGGTAGCATGCGAAAGAGAGTAGGGTTAGGCAGAGGGAGAGGGAGAGAGAATCTCCAGCAGACTCCCCACTCAGTGCAGAGCCTGATGTGGGGCTTGATCTCATGACCCTGAGATCAGGACCTAAACTAAAACCAACAGTCAGATGCTCAACTGACTGCACCACCCAGACAACCCTCAGCATACTTTTGCTCAAAAAATTTTAACATCCACTAACAGTAGCAGTTAATACACTAGTATTGGCTTACTGGAGGTTTTCTTATTTTCCCTCATTCTTTCTGCATTTATTAGAGTTCTCTAAGGAAGAGCTGGACATTCTTCTCTGTTTAGTATTTATTTTTATTTTTGCTTTTTAAATACATTAAAAATTTTTATTGGGGTAAAAATGTGTAACATAAAATTTACCATTTTAACTATATTTAAGTGTACACTTCTGCAGTATTAAGGACATTCACACTGTTGTGTAGCTATCACCACCAATCTAAGAAATGAGAAATGGCATCTCAGTGTTTAAGTTTGCATTTCTGTAATTATGAGTGAATCTGATCACTTTTTATATGTTTTTTTTTTTTTACTTTTTATATGTTTAAAGGCTACTTTAGATCGCGCGCGCGCGCGCGCGCGTGTGTGTGTGTTCATGTCATTCTTCCATTTTAAGCCATTGTCTTTGTATTTTTAAGAGTTATTTATATATTTGGGATATTGGCTGCTGGTGGTATGTGGCATGTGTCGCAAATATTTTCTTTTAGCTTATCAAAGACATTTGACTTTGCTTATAGTGTTTTTTCTTTTGCCATACAAAAATGTTTATTGTTATGTAATCACATTTAATAATCTTTTTTTTTTTTTAATTGCCTCTGGGTTTTGAACCATGATTAAAAGCCTTTCTTTAACCTGTAGACTAAGTAGGAACTTACAAGCTTCCACTAGCATGTTTTAATGTCTGGTGATAGCCAATTCCCCCTCCCATCACAACCTTATGGCTTTTCTTTTTCAGTATTTTCCTGACTATTCTTGCATGTTTGCTTTCCATATGAACTTCAGTTTCAACTTGCCCAATTCCACAGAAAATCTTGTTGGCATTTTTATTGGTATTGAATTAAATTTATAAATAAACTTAGGAAGAACCAACGTATTTATGATGTTGAATCATCCTATCCAGGGATAGACGAAACATTCCATTTGTTCAAGTCTACCTTGTATCTTTCAGGGATATCTATAATATTTTATTTTTATTTTAATTATCATATCAGTTATTGCTATATTTTATTACTGGCATCTTTCTATTGGTGCCAGTTTCTAGGTTATTTCTGTTTATCATCTGTGCTCCATATGCCATCTACACATCTGTAGGTAATACCATTTTATATCCTTCTCCCCTAGCAGTTTGTGGTTGACTTTGTAAAAAGGCCACCTGGAAAAGAGTCTTCTTCATGGGGATTCTGGCCTGGGTTGGGGAATCCTGGGCAGAGTCTATACAGCTCAAACTGTAGGAAACTTTTGTGGCTTTGGCTGCTGAACAAGGGATGATTGGAAGGCAGGACTGAAAGAAGTAATTCTTTGGTTTATATCCTATTCGCTAAGGATTTTGTCACTTACAAAGGTACATAGTGGAAGTAGAGAGATCCATGTGGCTGGATAGTGGGTTGTCTTAAAAATCTGTATGAGTATCTAAAGCGACAAGACATGAAAAACTTATAGTTGAGGGAGGAGCTACAGGACTGCACCCCATTCTCTGCTGGGGTTAGCATGTAAGCATGTAAGCATATAGAAGGGAGGGTCTAGCTTAACAAATCTAGTAGAGTTAAAAGTGTGATAGGAAAGGCCTGGATATCCTAGGGATTCCCTTTCAAAGTCAGAAATAAAGTACTGTCATTTAGTAAATAAATGTAAATCTTGCTGACAGAAAGGAAAGGGAGAAGGAAGGACAAAGGGAGGAAGAACTGGGATCTGAGGGACAAAATTAATCAATAAAGTGAAACAATAGGAAGGTCAAAGAGTTAAAATCAAGTGTTATTTTACTTACTTCAAGACATCTGGCCAGCTTATCATTGGAGAAAGACAATGCGGTGAATAAATCATAGAGAACCTCATTTGTCCTATTAGCTATTCCTCCTGTATCCCAAAATTTGGGGTAGATCATATGAGAAGTTAAAATTTGCTGATTTGAGTCTCATATTCTATTTCCTCTGCCTGACATGTGAAGAGGCCAGTGAACCTTAAAATAACCAAATGGCAAAAAACCAAGGGAATAGGGACAAGCTTAAGTGCCTGGCCTAGATAATTAGTCTTTGAATAATCAAGAATGGGGTGCATTATAATCCTAATACTGGCACAGTAATTAGACTTAGAAGTTTCGAACTGTGATGTTAGAATTTCTGCATGTGGATATGAAGTTGGATAGTTTGGGTTTCCTTTAGTTTGTAATTTAGCAACAAAGTAATCGGTTCGTATGTTTTTCTAAAAATATGAACATCTTGGTCCATATTTCTGGGAATTCTAGAGGGGTGAAATAAAAACTTAGAAAAACTGATGCAGGACACCTCGTGACTCAGTGGTTGAGCATCTGCCTTTGGCTCAGATTGTGATCCTGGGGTCCTGGGATGGAGTCCTGCATCGGCCTTCCCGCATGGAACCTGCTTCTCCCTCTGCTTATGTCTCTGCCTCTCTCTCTGTGTCTCTCACGAATAAATAACTAAAATCTTTTAAAAAAAGAAAAAAGAAACACGCATGCAATGACCACAGGTGCCCTGTTGTTTTACTCCACACTTAGTATTTTAAATGCATAAGATGTCATTCCTAGGGCAGCTTTCAGACTCAAGATGTTTTGAGGCACAGCTGACTCTCAATTATAAAAGTAAAAGCAATTATCTAGATTCTCACCATGCATTTAAGATTATAGTTTTATGTTTATTTATTAAAAATAACACAAACCAGGCAAACAACTTATTTAAAATGCAGTGTGTGCTTAAACTGATTTAAAGCAATAACCACAGACATAGCCTTCGTGATTCTCCAAAAATATCCCTTATCTTCCTTTGCAATTTGAATCCAAATATTCAGCTTTGATTTTGATGTCTCTTCTAAGTTTTGCACCTTTCTGGGCTCTTCACATATTAGAGATGAAGAAAGAGAGAAAGAGAACTAAGAATCCTAAAATATGACAATTTAAAACTCAAGTTTAAGAGTTATTTTGGTCGACAGTTAAGATTTCTGTTTTGTTAGAGCTGAAGTTACAACTGCAATTGTTTATGAAAACACCCACAACATGGAATCTGTACTTTTCTAGAACAGTATTCTTATTTTATGAAGTAGAGAATGTGTTTGTGATTCTGTAGCTACAACTATAGATTTTAGAGAATCCAGAGAAGGTAATACTTACCTCCAGTATCCTTCAAATAAAAAACCAAGTGAAATATGATTTGAATAATGTTAATGTTCCTTAATTAATTGAAAAGTCTTAAAAAATAATCATCTTTAGAGATTGGATGGAGGACAGTATTTACAAGGTTAAATGTTATGCTATATATTTTAGCACAAATCATAATATTAAAAAGACCAAAAACAGAACACAAAAACTGAAACTCCTGCCAGTAGGAGTTTCAAAAAGGTGGGTCTCTCTTTCTGAAAGGCAGGAATTCCTAAAGCCTTGGTGATTTTCCAACAAGTCCAAGCTTTTTTGAAGCAAAGTTTAACATTTATTCTTATTCTCCTCCATTCCTTAAACTCCCTGAACTTAGCATACATGTTGGTACTGCTCTAATAGTAAATCTTATATCTAATGCCATATATTCAACTTAAAAATTTATTTATTTATTTATTTATTTATTTATTTGAGAGAGAGGGAATGAGGTGAGGGAGAGGGAGAGAAAATCTCAAGCAGACTCTGTGCTGAGCCCTCGTCAGGCTCTGTCTAATGACTCTGAGATCATGACCTGAGCTGAAATTAAGAGTCAGACGCTTAACTGAGTCACCCAGGTTCCCTGTATATTCAACTTAAAAAAAAAAAAACTCACATAGCATCTAGTGA